TATCTGACCTTTAAAGCATCAATCCAACATCTATCTGACCTTTAAAGCATCTATCCAACATCTATCTGACCTCTAAAGCATCTATCCAACCTCTATTTGACCTCTACGTGTAAACATGAATCCCCTGCACTGTAAATGATTTAAATATGAGAGATATGATGATATATCGTACCATGCAACTATGGAGATATAGAGCAGTTAGATAGATAGATAGATAGACAAATATGCAGATAGATAGATAGATAGTTAGATGTATAGCTAATGTTTATAACTTATGGGCATCATTGGGGCAAATGGTCATTGAGCAATTCAATAATAAATAATCGGTTCAGTGCATTCATTATTCCTTTTCCTAGGATACTGTTAGTTCCAGGGGNGGGCATGTGTGTCAGTTTAGTATGAGTTTGTTTATCAAAAATGTAGTTTGATGCTAGATGTTCATGTTCATAGCTTATATATATTGACGGTTTCTCAAAATGCAATAAAAGCAATCCAGTAGCGATATTTGGTATTTTTGTGTAAAATTTTTTAGATAAGAATTTTATTGTTATGTGTTTAATAAAAGTAAAAACTTTAAATATTTAACAAATAACTAAAAAAAACAACGCCCATCTTCGAAGCATCATGTATATTTGTATATATTGGATAACATGAATATGTGGTGTTGGGTTTCCATTTATATTCAGAAATTATCAGGTACTGTGATCTATCTATCTATCTATCTATATATCTATCATCTGTCTATCTGTCTATCTATCTATCTATCTATCTATCTATTTATCTATCTATCTATCTATCTATCTATCTATCTATCTATCTATCTATCTATCTATCTATCTATCTATCTATCTATCTATCTATCTATCTATCTATCTATCTATCTATGTTTTATCAGCATCTCGTCATATGTATGCATTGGCTGTCAAAACCATGAATAGATCTTTAGATCTATCTATCTATCCGCCTATTAATATTTGACTATATATATTAAACTATGGGACTTTATAAATATATAGATATACGTGTACTATATCCACATATCTATTTATCTATATAAAATTCTTCAGTGAGACCAACAAAACTGTAAAATAGAAAGACGACATTCAAGCATTCTTCTGTGTTTTTAATGTTGTTTTACTACAAATAGTTTTATCATTAGCTTAAAAATCAACTTATTAAGTAAAATAGTTTTGTTTACACTGCATAATTCCTATGTTTCATGTTTAATATCAAAACTAGAATATTACAGTCCTTTTCCCATTTCACAGTTTAATAGGTCTCACTGCATCTATTTTAACCCAAATAATGAGATAACAGTGCCATCAAATTACATCAATCTTGAGTAAATTTCAGGAAAAGTTTTGGAACGACTTCGCGACATTGATTGATTGAAGTCTTAATGTAGGCAAATAAAGAAGTAATTGTAAAGATTAAGGGAATATATATATTTACTTTGCTTGTCTGTTTTTCTGGTTCTTTGTTTCTTTGTATCCAATAAATGTCAAAACGGCTGAACCCATCGGGTCCAAATTTTGTGTGGGACTTACATGACCCCAGGGAAGGTTTATTAATGTTTAGAATTATAAATGGTTGTCTCCAAAAAAGGTAGATTTTCGTAAAATTTTGAAAATCCACAAAATTTTTTAATTTTGTTTTATTGAAGAGAAAATGGTAAAAGAATTAAAAGTTGAAAATAAAGATGGGCACGGAGCGCCCTAAAAACCTAGTAATGTAAATACAAGGAAACAGAAATTCCGTAGAGGTGTCTCTCACCCCGGACTAACCAGAGTGAGCAGCATTCGGTTTCTTATATTTGAAATCAAACCTGTTTTGTTCTATAATTCAACAATCTTTTACCTTACGCATTTGTTAATTCTATACTTTTTCAAAATGCATATGCCGACGCAAATGTATTAAAAAAAGACTAAAAAATTGTGTTTAAAGGGTCAAATTGTGATCGAAAGTCACAGCTTTCTGGAATATTGACAGAACCGTTAAATCCACGTGCTCTGAAAACTCATCCTATGTGGTCATCCTATGTACTTGGTTAAAAAATAACGATTAAATTATTCTAGAACCAATGAACTTGGCAACTTTCTGGGGGTGCCCAGAATTCTTTTTTTTTTTAAATTAACATATAAAGTTAGTATATATCTTCTTAAAAAAAGTCTAGAACAGGTTCTATTGTTTATTTAATAACCGCCTCTGCCACCGGAAAAGGGACTATTAGTGGTTTTATTCCAGTTGTAATGATTTCTGTGGTTTTTATTCCTTGTCTTACTTGAGTGTGCAGATCCGTTCCTTCCATTCGTTTATTCATTCATCCTTTTTAGATCCGGTTCCTTTTCATTCATTTGTTCATTCATCCTATCTTAGATCAGGTTCCCTCCCTTCAATTATTCTTCATCCTTTCTTAGATCCGGTTCCTTCCATTCATTTAATCTTCATCCTTTCTTAGATCCGGTTCCTTCCATTCATTTATTCTTCATCCTTTCTTAGATCCGGTTCAAGTCCTCCATTTTTTCATACATCCAGTTCCTTTAATTAAGAAATGATAAGTATTTCAGTCCTATGTACAAATTGGATACATACAATATATAAACCCAAATATAAATATATCCATAAATAACATATATTCAATATTTTCCCGTATTATTATAATAATACTTGTCTTTCAAATTATTCACGGAAACCATCTTCCCCCTCTCACGTCTATCCAACCATTTTCAACGCTATCTATCTATCTATCTATCTATCTATCTATCTATCTATCTATCTATCTATCTATCTATCTATCTATCTATCTATCTATCTATCTATCTATCTCTATGTTAGATTCTCCGCGCCCTGACCCCATCTGTCCGAACCGAATTGAAAAGTCAGATAACTCTGAATGTGAATCCATTCACATTTTTCCTTTTTATTTATTTTTTTGTATTTTACAAATGTTTAAGTTACTTTCGAACAAATAATTTTTGTTTGATTTTTAAGGTTTATTTTATGTAACAAATAAGAAGAAAACGAAAGAAAAGGATGGGCAGTATCTAAAAGCATTGAAAAGGATTTTCATAAGGATGTCTGGACTGAAAAAAAGTAAGACAGGACGACAAGCCGCGGTAAAGAAAAGATCCCTCGAACCCGCCGATCTGGTGCGTATAAGATTATTTTTGTTAATATTAATTTATGTTCACGCAGAATTAATACGGTTGTCAATCTCAAGTATTTGAGAGGGGGGGAGCAAACATCTCCCTGCAGTACACCTCTCCTCCTACACACTAGATCTTTCACACACACACACCTCCTCCTACGCACATTCTCCTCTTACACGAACTATCCTACACACAACATACCCCTCCTCCTTACAAGAAATCTTACACACAACATAAAATTTCAAACACTTGAACTCACAAACCATCTCTCACAAACCATCTCTTACAAACCATCTCTCACAAACCATCTCTCACAAACCATCTCTTACAAACCATCTCTCACAAACCATCTCTCACAAACCATCGCTCACAAACCATCTCTCACAAACCATCTCTCACAAACCATCTCTCACAAACCATCTCTCACAAACCATATCTCATAAACCATCTCTCACAAACCATCTCTTACAAACCTTCTCTCACAAGCTATCTCTCACAAACCATCTCTCACAAACCATCTCTCACAAACCATCTCTCACAAACCATCTTTCACAAACCATCTCCCTCACAAACTATATCTCACAAACCATCTCTTACAAACCATACCTCACAAACCATCTCTCACAAACCATCTCTCACAAACCATCTCTCACAAACCATGTCTCACAAACCATCTCTTACAAACCATCTCCATCCCAAACTATCTCTCACAAACCATCTCTCACAAACCATCTTTGACAAACCATCTTTCACAAACCACTTCCCACAAGCCATCTCTAATACATCCTCAATAAACCCTATGTCAGTGAAGTAGTTAGCTAGCTATTGAACTAATTGTGCACTGCGTGCGAACAACAAAACAATTAAAACTGAATTAAATGGACAGAGAAGTTAATTGCGAAATTATATTCATTTGGAGTTTCCTTGTATTTACTGAACTAGATTCATTCATAATCTATCAAACCATCTGCTCTTTCTACTTCTCGTCCTTCTTCTCCTGCTTCTCCTTCTTCTCCTCCTTCTCCTCCTTCTCCTCCTTCTCCTCCTTCTCCTCCTTCTCCTCCTTCTCCTCCTTCTCCTCCTTCTCCTCCTTCTTCCTCCTTCTCTATTTTGAGTGGGTAAGGGTGAATGTGAGTTTTCTGAGTGTTTGTAAGTTTATTATATGTGTGGTCCAAAAAAATGCTCTATCATGCACTCCTTACCAACTCTTAAGTATATAAAAGTATATTTAAAGAAACTCTTCTCAAAGTTAACAAATAAATAAATCAGAAGTTAAAGGAATTGTTCACCAAAATTAGGGAAGAATCCTGAGAGAATACTTAGTTTGTTCTGCAATTATTTACTTAAAAAAAATTTTAGTGGATAAGTTTTTTTAATTAGATGAATTGGACACCTGGTAGGTGACAGTTTTCATATTATTCCCCTACCTTCTATATAGGTGGTAGTAATTATATTTATGAATGTTAAAGGAACAGTTTTCAAATTATCCACTACATAATATTTTTTTGCGCATTTTCAAAATTTTACAAAAATAAAAAAACTTTTAAACACAAATTTTTAAAATTTTGTCAATCATAAACCTTCCCTTGGGCCATGTGAGGTCCCACACACAATTTGGGTCTGATCGGTTCAGCCGTATTGACGTTTATTGGATATAAACAAACAGACACCCAGACAAGCTAAATATATATATAGATGGGTTACAAATTTTAGTATCAGTTGGTTAACGAAGACGACCTCCAATCAAAAGTTGTCTTTAAAGAAATTCTTCCTAATGTTTTTTGAAAGCAGGAATAGACTATAGCCGTATTGATTGGATTTGGAAGCAGTTTGCTTGTGTGCTTTAAAATCATGCAGATCTCGCAAAAGAGACATACAGGTAAAAAATTGCAGTGCCAGCCAGCCAAAGAAGACGCCTCTAATCAAAAGGTGTTATCTTGATATGTTTCTAAGAATTATTTTTCAGGATTCACTTTCGTCGTAATGATTTAGAGAAATTTTTCTTTTTTGTTGCAAATTCATTGCCTCCTTCTGTATAGGTAGTATAGTGAGTATATTTATAAATATTAAAGCACCAACTCACGGTAATTATTCATGGGGGGGTTCAATCCGCAGAGTATTTAAAAAAAAATCAAAAAGTAATTTTTTTTTATTTTACAAAGAAAATAATTTTTGCAACAAACCTGAATTTGTTAATCCCTATATTATTGCAAGCCAATGTATTAGACCTTGTAAAATAGGTACCAGAAAACCAGAAAACCAGAAAACCAGAAAACCAGAAAACCAGAAAACCAGAAAACCAGAAAACCAGAAAACCAGAAAACCAGAAAACGAAAACCAGAAAACCAGAAAACCAGAAAACCAGAAAACCAGAAAACCAGAAAACCAGAAAACCAGAAAACCAGAAAACCAGAAAACCAGAAAACCTGAAAACCTGAAAACCTGAAAACCTGAAAACCTGAAAACCTGAAAACCTGAAAACTGTCCTCGAAAAAAACCATTTGTGTGGGAAAATGTTCTTGCAGACTTTAATGCATAAATTGTCTTTGAAAACGAATCTATTGATAAAAAGTGAAATAGTAACTTGGGGTAAATTATCCTTCAGAAAAAAGGCAATGGTAAATTGTAATTGGGAAAAATAATCAATGGTAAATTTTAGCTGGGAAAAATGATCAATGCTAAGTTGTACTTGGGAAAAATAATAATTAACAAATTGACATTGGGGGAAAAAGTCTGAAAAATTATCGGATGGAAAACAAATTTTTGGAAAAATCTCCAAGTTGTTTTTCTTTTTACATACTCCTAGATTTCTTCAGCAAACTTTGGGCAAACTTTAACTAATTTTAGAAAAGCAAATCATTGCTTATACACGTCCACTGAAGTAGTAGAGGAGGGGGGTGTTAAGAAGGTTGGGGTGTGTGAAATTGTCAAATAAAAGAAGATAGAGCACATCCTTAGCTTAATACTGGGTTCTCATAACTTTGAACTGGTTAGAAGAAGAAGGTTAAATCTGTGCAACTTTACTGGCTGGTACAACTTTGAGACCTCTTTTCTCTAGTTTTATTCTTAAATATGAGAAAAATAAATTTATCCAGCAACATATTAGAACTTCAAAACATTTTTATTCTTTCCAATAACTCTTTTAAACTCAATAACTCTTCAGACTTCAATAACTCTTCAGACTTCAATAACTCTTTAGACTTCAATAACTCTTCAGACTTCAATAACTCTTCAGACTTCAATAACTCTTCAGACTTTAATTACTCTACAGACTTCAATAACTCTTCAGACTTCAATAACTCTACAGACTTCAATAACTCTTCAGACTTCAATAACTCTTCAGACTTCAATAACTCCTCAGACTTCAATAACTCCTCAGACTTCAATAACTCTTCAGACACAAATAACTCTTCAGACTTCAATAACTCTTCAAACTTCAATAACTCTTCAGACTTCAATAATTCTTCAGACTTCAATAACTCTTCAGACTTCAATAACTTTTCAGACTTCAATAACTCTTCAAACTTCAATAATTCTTCAGACTTCAATAACTCTTCAGACTTCAATAACTTTTCAGACTTTAATAACTCTTCACACTTCAATAACTCTTCACACTTCAACAACTCTTCACACTTCAATAACTTTTCACACTTCAAAAAGAGGAGTTATGATTGAAAAAATATAATATTTAAAACTTATGTGAAAATTACTTTAGTTTGACCTGTCAAAGTAATCTTATATGCAACGTGCATTAATAATCGAAAAGAAAACATTTAGTATGTTTTTTTACATAAATGTATGTATAATGGTTTTATATCCGGCCCCTTTTATGGAAAAAGCTTCAGCTTTTAACTGTCGATTTGAAAGTCGTCCATTTTTTATAATTCTAAAACATTTGATAGTTTTTTCTTTTCAAATTAGCTCATTTTCAAAAAAGAAAAAAACGGACCCAATCCCACAAACAATTTTGGCCCAATCGGTTCAGCCGTTTTGACGTTTATGGGATACAAACGGACAAACAAACAGACAGACAGACAAGCAAGTATATAGATAGAAGCTTTACAGTTTGATTTTTCTTTTTTCTTATCGAATTTTTCGAGAAATTTTTACAAGTTAGAACATCCGGTATTTCCGGTTTAAAACTTTGGTCGAGATTTTTCGCTTTTATTTTTTTTTCGATACAAAAACGGTTTGGTAAATTTTGACAATGTGAAAGACCATTGCTGTTTTCGTGCGTTTGACAATTTGTTTAATCTAATTAATCAAAATCTAATAAAAAGCTGGGGGTCTCCAATGAAAATCTAGAGTCTGCAATGAGTTAGCTTTGGGGGTCTCCGATAGTATTCCAAATGATAATGATTTCTTCCAAGACTCTCAAAATGGCATTCGAAAAATTAACAAATTCTTTGAATTCATAATTCTAAGTTTTTTAAAATGAAACTTATATTTTATATATATATAGCAAGGTAATAAGGCAAGGAAAGTTAATTGCGGTCGCGTATACTCTGCGTACATATTAAAACTAGTTCTCTATGGGCGGAATTTGTAAACAAGAATAGATGCATCAGTGTTCGTCTAGTATCCGAGGAAGATAAAAGCATTTAATTTTTACAATGTTGAAAATTTACATAATAGTTTCCTATGACCAGAATATTTCATAGATTATTTGTGTGAAAATGGATTCCATGTGAGGCTGTGACATCCGTCTTGTGTTTACTTGTCCGCCCAAAGACAGTACACTGCAGTACAAAAAATGCGTAAACCTTTGAAATAACTTTCTTTGCATTAGTACCTTGAGTTATAGAATTTATTTTCAAACACAAAATACAAAAGAATAATGTATGCTGTTTCAGCTTAAAATAAAACACGAAAGAAAATTTATTATTAGCCAAATAAAATATGATGTTTAATAATTTTGTTCTGATCGGTATTTGTTGAAACAGACTATTCATATTGAAATCTCTACTGAATATACATTCATTTTGGATTTACAAGTAAATACTTAGTCAGCACTCAAATAATCAAAACATTTTCAGGAATGCATTAATTGAACTTATAAATAATTGATTCAGCAAATGTAGCAATGTATTCTTGTTGACTGTAGTAGACTTTGACATCTACCATAAGCATACCCATACTCGTCGACTGTATTAGACTTTGACATCTACCATTAGCAAAGGGTGAGAACCCATTATTATTGACTGTACTAGACTTTGACATCCACCATTAGCAAAGAGTGTGAACCCATTCTTGTTGACTGTAGCAGTCTTTGACATCTACCATAAGCAAAGGATGTGAACCCATACTCGTCGACTGTATTAGACTTTGACATCTACCATTAGCAAAGGGTGAGAACCCATTCTTGTTGAATGTAGTAGACTTTGACATCCGCAACTAGCAAAGGGCGTCAACCCATACCTGTTGACTGTAGTAGACTTTGACATCCACCACTAGCAAAGGGTGTGAACCCATACTCGTTGACTGTAGTAGACTTTCACATCCACCATTAGCAAAGGGGTTGAACCCATTCTTGTTGACTGTAGTAGACTTTGACATCCACCATTACCAAAAGGGTTGAACCCATTCTTGTTGACTGTAGTAGACTTTGACATCCATCATAAGCAAAGGGGTTGAACCCATTCTTGTTGACTGTAGTATACTTTGACATCCATCATTAGCAAAGGGGTTAAACCCATATTCGTTGACCGTAGTAGACTTTGACTTCCACCCTTTCGTACATTAACATACATCATCTTCACATGGAACATATTGCATCGGCACATATCATTTTGTTATTTTTAGACCAGGAACAATAATCTTAACCCTATCTCTGCTGGGGTACTTGAAAACCAGGATAATGTCCAAATATGACAAATGATACATCATTAGAAAGCTCTTGTGCTCTACTTTTAGAATCTGCAAAAAAATTTGCAAATTTGCAAAAATTGAATTTTTTATCGCAAAATCCAGTTATATAGTAAAAATGTCTGCAAAAACAAATTTGTCAAAAAAATAAAAAAATATACATTTTTGAAAAGCCCTTGACCATGCCATTTCAAATATGCAAAAATTTTTGCAAAATTTTAAATAACATGATTTTTAATAAAGAAAAACTAAAAATGTGCCAATTTCCTTTGACAGGTTGTTTGCAAAAAATTTGCAATTTTTTTTTCGCAAAACTTGTGCAATTTGTTTCCTTTTGTCAAAGGCTTTCCAAAAAGCTAAATTTTATCAAAATCTGACAAGTGAAAGTGGGTCAAAACAAAGATTTAGTTTGTTACAGGAAAAAGCAGTCATTCAGGCAGTGTGCCTGAGGACTCAGGCAGTTAGTATTAAAGCCCTGTTTTAGGCCTAATGGGAGGGCTATGGGTATGTAAGAAAATTCAGAAAATTTCAACAGCCTCAGACCAATACTTTTTGAGTTATGTAAAAAAAACTACAGGGGGGGTCAAATTGACCCCCCCCCCCAGCGGGAATAGGGTTAAAGGATAACGGGAGCAAAATTGGAAAAAAACTTTTTTGTAATTCTCAGTGGAAATATTAAATAAATAGATGACTAGAAAAAATCATAAGGTTTTACATGATGTATAAAAAGAAAAAAGCTAAAAAAAATAGCGTCATCGAAATACAGCAGAAAAAAGCTTATTTAGATAGAAAACTAGATCTAGATAGATATATATATCTAGATAGACAGTAGCTAAGATAGCTAGAATATTTAAATAGATATATAGATAGAAGCTAAGATATAGAATAGATAGATAGCTAGATATATAGATAGATAGAAGCTAGGATAGAGAATATATAGATAGGAATGCAGATAAGTAAACTACTTAGCGCTCTCATATCATATCTTTACAATATACCTAGTATACCTAGTACAAAAATATACTTTACAATATACCTAGTACAAAAACATACTTTACAATATACCTAGTACAGAAACATACATTACAATATACCTAGTACAGAAACATACTTTTCAATATACCTAGTCAAAAACATACTTCATACCTAGTGCAGAAACATACTTAATACCTGGTACAAAAACATACTTCACAATATACCTAGTACAGAAACTACTTTTCAATATACCTAGTCAAAAACATACTTCATACCTAGTGCAGAAACATACTTAATACCTGGTACAAAAACATACTTCACAATATACCTAGTACAGAAACATACTTTACAATATACCTAGTCAAAAACATACTTTATACCTAGTGCAGAAACATACTTAATACCTGGTACAAAAACATACTTAATACCTGGTACAAAAACATACTTTACAATATACCTGGTACAGAAACATTACTTTTCAATATACCTAGCACAGAAACATACTTTTCAATATACCTAGTACAGAAACATACTTTATAATATTCCAAGAACAGAAACATACTATTATAATATACCTAGTACAGAAACATACTTTATAATATACCTAGAACAGAAACATACTATACAATATACCTAGTACAGAAACATACTTTATAATATACCAAGTACAGAAACATACTTTACAATATACCTAGTACAGAAACATACTTTATAATATACCTAGTACATAAACAAAATTTACAATATACCTAGAACAGAAACATACTTTACAACATACCTAGTACAGAAACATAATTTACAATATACCTAGAACAGAAACATACTTTACAATATACCTAGTACAGAAACATACTTTACAATATTCCTAGTACAGAAACATACTTTATACCTAGTAAAGAGGCATATTTTATTCCTAGCACAGAAACATACTTTATAATATACCTAATACAGAAACATACTTTATAATATACCCAATACAGAAAGATATTACATAATATACCTAATTGTCGTATGCATTCTCCAAGATAAATAGTCTAAGTTTGAAATATCAAAGGTTTACACCATCAGGTTAAAAAATATAGAGATTAGAAAATAAGAGTTTTCAGTTTTCAGTAACGTTATATTTGTTTTGTCCAAATTCTTGACATTCACTGGCAAGGCTAAGTTATAAAAATCCGCAATTGAAAAGTAAAAAAAATCTATGAAATAATTAGGGTTTTGTACACTGTATTTCCAATGTATTCGTTCATAAAAGGATTTCTAAAGTACATAGAAACATTACATTTACACATATATAAACCACATATTTTCGCAGACAAATTATTCATGTTTTCATATTTGACCTTGCATTTAGTGCTTTTTTTCTGCTAAATTTTAGCGTTTTGTATACGCTTATTCAAAACCATAAAGGCCCAAAAACATCATAAAATATCCTTTAAAAAATATTTTACTAAAAAAATCTTTAAAAATCTAGAACCTTTTGGGCGTTGTCCGTACATTTTTAAATTTAAATTTTTTCAAAATTTTAATATTTTTAAACCTCTTCTCCATCTTGCAATGACCTAAAAAAGGTGCGCACACGCCAAATGGTATTTTATAATAACAGAGCAACCCATAGAGACCAGGCTAAATTATACTATTTTAGGTCGTAATTTACGAAATATACTCGGGATAAACTCAAGTTTAACTTGTTAGAAAAACATTAAGAAAACAGATGGGAGGGGGAGACAAAAAGTTCCTGCTCATTACAAAACATCTTGGGGCAGTGCTTTGCTAGAGACCTGAGTATAGAAGTCGTTAAAGAGCTAGGGTGCATCTATATATATATATATATA